CGCCAAAACGGTGGCGCACCACTCATCCGCTTGTCGGACATTGCCTTGTATGACGGTACAGGCATACGCGTGTCTCGGTGGCTGCAGTCTGCCACATGCACACTCCAGCTCATGGGCGCCACACCCGAGACGTGGGTGGGTCACCTCTCCACACGCCTGCGTGGCGGTCCTTTCGAGGCCTGGGAGGATTTTTATGCCTACTCCCTTCGTGAGGGTCGGACTCCGACCTTCGTGGATTTCCAGGCGTTCCTCGAGGATCGCTTCGGAGCCCGATACAACGTGACTGACCCCTTCGAGCGTGTCGTCACTACACGCTGGTCCGACTCTGGTGGCGCTGCCGGCCTGGATCGCCACATCCAGGTCTTTCAGGACGCCCGCCTCGTTTGCGACGTGGCGTTCCTCCCCGAGGCTGCCCTTATCGATCGTTTCTTGGCCAGCCTTCCGCTCGAGTACCGTTCCGAGCTATGGCAGTACGAGTTCACATCGGCCCCACAGGCTTACGAGGCCGCTAGGGACCACCAGCGGATGCGAGCCCGTCTTCACCCCGTCTCCTCCTCCCAGCCCCAGCGCACGGGCTACGCCTCCTCCTCTCACGACACTTCCCAGCGTCCTTCCCCTTTCCGCGGTCGCCCCCGCCATTCCACGCAGCAGGGCCGCCATTTCTCGCGCCGCTTCAGCGCGCTGGAGTATGGTGAGCAGGACGCTGTTGCCCCACTGTCATCTAAGGGCGACCACAGCGACGACCTCGATCTCTGCGTGGCCGTCCACTATCACTTGGAGGACTCTACCCTCCCTGCAGCTGAGCGCCTTCAGCTCGCGCTCTCTGCCCTCTCTCGGGCACGCAGCCGCCCCGGTCACGCTGGCGCATCGCCCCCCGAGGTCCCTCAGGAGGACCTCGCTCAGGGCTTCGTCCCTCCTCGTGGTGTCCTTTCCCCTGAGGAGCGTGCGGTTATTCTAGGCCGGCGTGGGTGTTTGCGCTGCCGCTTGGACGGTCATACCTCCTCGCGGTGCCCTTACACTACCGCCCTCGACCTCCACTACGCTGACCTTTCTCGTCAGCGTCGTGCTCAGTCCCCCCCCGGCGCCTCACGTCCCCGCGGCTCCTCCTAGCCACGGTGCAGTGTACACCTGCACCCTCCTCAGTAGTGGGCTTCACGACATCTCCGTCGTGGTTCGCCTCTCTCGCTACTGGAGTTGAGGTATCGCAGGACTCGACAGAGTGTACTCAGCCCTCTGTCGCAGTACCGTCTGCGCCTCCGCAGACCACCGGCTCCCCTCCTTCCCCGTCGCGACTACCGACGCGTCGAGCCATTCGCTCAGCCCGTTGCAGTGAGCAACTTCCTACTCGCGAGGACGTTGTGTCCTCTCTTCTGGACTTGAGCATGCTCCAGGCTCGTCAGGAGCGACTCACCCTCCATGTCGCTGCACTGCGTCGCCTTCTCGCCATCCTTTCTGACCCTGATCGCACCCTCCCGATCATCCTCGTACGACTCGGGACCTCCACGAGGGTGTCCTCAGTGCTGTGGGATTCCGGTTCTCAGGGCGACTTCATTCACCCACGCGTGGTGAAGGAAGCCTGCTTACCCACACAGGGTCTCCGACTCCCATCTCCGTTACCCTAGGGGATGACAAGACCCAGCGCTTCTTCGATCAGACGATCACCGACCTCCCCTTCTTCCTCACTCTCGAGCCGACTGATCGTTCCCCGACTTCTCGTCGCCACCGCTCCTCTGCACATTTCGATGTGATGGAAACGGGGTACGACTTCATTCTCGGCACTCCGTGGTCTCGTCGGTTCCGCAGCACCGAGGCCGATTGGGYGACCAACACTCTCGTTCTCAAAACGAAGTGTGGACAGACGTATCGCGTACCTTTCATAGGTACCACGGCGACACCACGCCCCGATCCTCCTCCCCCGGATCCTTCAGTGCCCACACCATCTCCCTCTATCACTGTCACCTCGCCTCGGCACTTCGCTCACTTCATTCGACAGGACGACGTCACCTTCTTTATGGTGGACGTGACGGATCTCTTACACTATGATCCACCCTGTCCCGACGCCGAGCTCATCCCTCTGGAGCCAGATCCTTCCTCTATCTCCATGGCTCCCATCTCTACTTTCGTCCCTCCGCAGTCCGTCGAGTCCACCCTGCCGTTGCGCGTTGACGCTGACGCTGAGGAACTCGCACGATATACGACTGACTTGGAGCTCGCAGTTCGTGACCTCATCTGAGAGTACCACGACGTTTTCCCATCGCCATTCTCGTACGCCGACATCCCACCGATGTGTGACGTCGAGCACTCCATTCAGCTCGTGCCTGACTATCGTGTTCACCACCAAGCACCCTACAGACTCTCGATCCCCGAGGCCACCGAACTCAAGCGTCAGCTTGAGGAGCTCCTGAGACTGGGTTTCATTAAACCCAGCAACTCCCCGTGGGGTGCACCCGTCCTCTTTGCTCGCAAAGTGGATGAAACTCTTCGTCTCCGCATCGACTACCACGGTCTCAACCGCTACATGGTTAAGAACAACTACCCCTTGCCTTGTTCCGATGAGCTGTTCGACCGCCTAGCAGGCAACCGCTTTTTTACGAAGATTGATCTTCGTAGCGGTTACCATCAGATCCGCGCCGCTGCAACCGACCAGCCGAAGACCGCGTTGCGATCGCGATTCGTCCACTACGAGTTCACGGTGATGCTATTCGGCCTCACCAACGCACCCGCTACCTTCCAGAGGGCGATGAACGACATCTTCAGGGATATCCTGGAGCAGTACGTTCTCGTCTATCTCGACGATATCTTGGTCTATAGTCGTACCCTTGAGGAGCACCTCAGACACCTCCGCGACGTCCTTGACCGCTTGCGCAGACATGACTTCTACGCGAAGCTAAGCAAGTGCTGCTTTGCCCAACACAAAGTGGATTTCTTAGGACACTACGTGTCTGACCAGGGTCTCCACATGGACGACGTGAAGATCACTGCTATTGCGGAGTGGCCCGCTCCCACATCCGCCAAGCAGCTTCGCAGCTTCCTAGGCCTGACCAGCTACTATAGTAACTTCATCAGGGAATACACTAGGTATTCCTATGTCCTTACCTCCACCCTCCTCCGGAAGAACCCTCCCTGGGCTTGGACACCCCTCCACGAGGACGCCTTCCGCGCCCTCAAG